AACACTTTCCAAACAAGGATGGGCTGAGTTTCACAACTCGGTGCCAAACTATTTGTAAAAAATGACAAAGGACTAAGTGTTCTCCTCATTTACAGTTCATTTAGACATTTTACCCCCCTGCTTGATGATCTTGTAAAGAGGCCAATTAAAGAAGTGAACTGCAGATCTTGAGTAATGTAATCAGACAGAAGATGGCATTGACACAGTCACATACCATATTTTTCAGCCTATAAGTCACTTTTTTTTTCTTTGTTTTGCATAATTTGCATGCCCCGCGACTTATACACCGAAGCAACATATTTATGGATTTGTTCCAATATCTATAAACCAATTTTTGGCTGAGATATGACCGTTTTCATTCATTCTGACATTGAAAATATGGAACACTACAATTTTCAGCCATTAGATGGCACTTGAGGTGTATAGCATGCCGTTGTGTCATGTAATAATTAAAAGTGGCTATTAATGACACAGTCAGCTTGTCGTAGACTAACACCTTCATCCAGCTCGCTTGGAGCAAACGTGAAATCAGGTTCATTTCGTTGCGCCGCCCCGACGAAATGCAGCTGATTTGACCATTGAAGTGCATTTATTAAGTAAAAGTTAGACTGAGACACACCTTTGCTTTAAAGTCGAGCAAACAAATAATTGTTTTAGGTTCTTATCTTGTTAAATTTCAGAGAAATGCACAGCGAGTCGTCCCTGTACGCGCTCCCGCTTCCACCAGTCGGCTTTTGAAACGCAGCTGATTTGATCGTCAAAGTGCATTTATTAAAGAAAAGTTAGACTGAGACACACCTTTGCTATAATTTTGAGCAAACAAATAATCGTTTTTAAGTGTTAATCTTGTTAAATTCTTGTTAAAGTCCTCCCGTGCACGCTCCCACAGCCGCCATTTGGCAGACAATCAATTTTTGGCACAACACCGGCCCACGTTTCCAGGTTGTCAGCGGTGACGTGTAATAGATGCGACTTATACGACGAATCAACGTATTTATGGATTTTTCCACTTTATTAGACGTATTTGGACGGATGTGACTTACAGGGTGGTGCAACGAGTACGGCGTAAAATACCGTACATGTTTCTTTTTTGAGTGTGTTGCTAAATATAAAATATTTTTGTTTTAACCACCATGGAGTTGGTTTATGAAGAAACTGAAAATGATTCTCTTTCTGTAAATCCCTCTTAATGTTCGGATGAACAATTTATAGTCTGAGGCCGAAGTCTGTTTTCTCACATCAACAAGCAGAAGTTTAGTGCTTCCTAAGCAGATCACTCTGTGGCCACAAAGTTTTTATTCAGCAGGTTTAGGATTTAAATTTACATTTTGATTGTTTCTTTGTGTTTCTAACCGAAAAAAATACTGTTGCTCCCCTCATGACATATTTAAATAATGAATGTTTAGACTTGTTCTCATCAGTCAGAGTTTCTTTATTGTCATTCGCACCTCATGTGGTACATGTGGTGGAGCGAAATTATGTACACAGGGTCCCAGTTACATCCAACAATAAAATGTAAAAGAACAACAGTGATAAGATCTAAGATATGAACTAAGAAAAACATCAACTAAATATACACTAAGCACTAATAACATAAAACATTGAACATCAGCACAAACATGAACGAGTCTGTGTGAGCAGATGCGCATGAACACATCAACATTGAAACAGATCAGCAGCAACATGAAACTGATCAGCAGCAACATGAAACAGATCAGCAGCGACATGATATGATTTTTCACAGTGATTATTCTAGTTAGAGATTCATGAGTCTAACAGCCTCAGGGTAGAAGCTGTTCCTCAGTCTAGTGGTTCTACACTTAATGCTCCTCAACCTCCTTCTTGAGGGGAGTGGGGCAAAAAGTGTGTGTGCTGGGTGAGTGTGGTCCTTCATGATGCAGGTGGCCCTCTTCCTGCATCTGGAGGTGTAGATGTCTGTGATGGTGGGGAGACTGATTCCAACATCTTCTGTGCAGCCTTCACCACTCCCTGCAGAGCTTTTCTTTCTGCAGCTGTGCAGCCTCCATGCCACACGTTGATGCTGGAGCACAGGATGCTCTCCACTGCACACCTGTAGAAGGAGATGAGGACTGAGCTTCTCAGACCAGCTCGCCTCAGCCGTCTGAGGAAGTAGAGTCTCTGATGAGCTTTCTTCATCAGGCTGGTGGTGTTGTTGCTCCAGCTGAGGTTGTCATGCATGTGTACACCCAAGTACTTGTAGCTGGAGACCACTTCCACCGCAGATCCTCTTATGTTCAGGGGGGTGTAGGTGTTTTTGTTCCTTCTGAAGTCCATTTTTATTTATATTTATAAAAATTGATTTATAAAAATCATCCTAATCTTGTGTTAATACGTGTCCACAATAAATAAAATGATCAGAAGACACTCACTCTCCAGGAATCAAATGAATTTTCCGCCTCAGACTTGATTAGACAATAATCATTATATTTTAATCAAATAATATTTCATTACAGCTAATTAGCTTTTTGGTTTCTGACATTAATTATAATTATTTCCAATTATTTAAATCACAACATTAACAGGGTGTGATTATTAAATGCAAGAGCACAAAGCAAAGATGGTTTATTTGTTAAAAGAAGCCATGGGCATCTCCAGACTTTTATTTTATTTCTTGTTACTGCGAATAAACACGAGGTGAAGTTGCAGTGAGACAAGCCGTGTCATTTTTTTAACGTCTTGTGCTGTGTGTTTCATGTGCAGCTGGTTTTAGTGGTACAATACTCATTAATTTCAACGTTTTGTTAATGTAAAAAAAAAAAAAGAAGTAAATATTAAACCACTGCACATTTTGCTAACACATTCACTTGTGATGAGAGAAAAGCAACAGAGAATAAAAAAGATCCAAGATAATTAGTTTGTTTTTCCAGTCTCAGTGTTAGATTTAAGGGAAATCTTTATTTACAGACAGATGTTACGATACCGTTGATAAAATTTAGACATCAAGATTGTCGAATGTGCCATTTCCCAGGTGAATGAAACCAATGGAAGTATTTAGTTTGGAGAAGTTTTTGCAGTTGACAGAACTTAAAAAGTTTTTTCTTCTTCCCCTTTTCTGTTCAGAGGTGAGTTCAGGCTGAGAAGTGCAGACACTGAAAGTTTCAGGTTGTGTTTTGTTAGCGGAGGTGCTAACAAGAAGAAATCCATCACAAATCGGTCGTTTCACTTGTCCTGTTTTATCTTCACTTTAAGGAATTCTTGATTGAGTATAAAAAAGTTTTAAAACCACATAAAAAGGAATTGTTTGTACTGATACATTATCAACTACCAGCGTGTGTGTTTTAAGTATCTGTAGTACAGGTGCTGGTCATAAAATTAGAATATCATGAAAAGTTGATTTATTTCAGTAATTCCATTCAAAAAGTGAAATTTGTATATTATATTCATTCATTACACACAGACCGATATATTTCAAATGTTCATTACTTTTAATTTCTATGATTATAACTGACAACTAAAGAAAACCCCAAATTCAGTTTCTCAGAAAATTAGAATATTACTTAAGACCAATAAAAAAAAAGGATTTTTAGAAATGTTGGCCAACTGAAAAGTATGAGCATGAAAAGTATGAACATGAAAAGTACGAGCATGTACAGCATCAATACTTAGTTGTTGCTCCTTTTGTCTGGATTACTGCAGCAATGCAGCGTGGCATGGAGTGGATCAGTCTGTGTCACTGCTCAGGTGTTCTGAGAGCCCAGGTTGCTCTGTGGCCTTCAGCTCTTCTCAATTGTTGGGTCTGACGTATCACATCTTCTTCTTCACAATACTCCATAGATTATATGGGGTTAAGGTCAGGCAAGTTTGCTGGCCAATTAAGAACAGGGATACCATGGTCCATAAACCAGGTACTGGTAGCTTTGGCACTGTGTGCAGCTGTCAAGTCCTGTTGGAAAATGAAATCTGCATCTCCATAAAGTTGGTCAGCAGCAGGAAGCATGAAGTCTCCAAAACTTCCTGGTAGACGGCTGTGTTGACTTTGGACCTCAGAAAACACAGTGGACCAACACCAGCAGATGACATGGCACCCCAAACCATCACTGACTGTGGAAACTTGACACTGGACCTCAAGCAACATGGATTCTGTGTCTCTCCTCTCTTCCTCCAGACTCTGGGACCTTGATTTACAAAGGAAATGCAAAATTTACTTCCATCAGAGAACATAACTTTGGACCACTCAGCAGCAGTCCCAGGCGAGATGCTTCTGACGCTGCCTCTTGTTCAAGAGTGGCTTGATACAAGGAATGCAACAGCTGAACCCCTTGTCTTGCATACGTCTGTGCGTGGTGGTTCTTGAAGCACCGACTCCAGCTGCAGTCCACTCTTTGTGAATGTCCTCCACATTTTGGAATGGGTTTTGTTTCACCATCTTCTCCAGGGTGCGGTTATCCCTATTGCTTGTACACTTTTTTTCTACCACCTCGTTTCTTCCCTTCGTTTCTCTATTAATGTGCTTGGACACAGAGCTCTATGAACAGCCAGCCTCTTTAACAATGACCGTTTGTATCTTACCCTCCTTGTGCAAAGTGTCAATGGTCGTCTTTTGGACAACTGTCAAGTCAGCAGTCTTCCCAATGATTGTGCGGCTACAGAACTAGACTGAGACCATTTAAAGGCCTTTACAGGTGTTTTGAGTTAATTAGCTGATTAGAGTGTGGCCCCAGGCGTCTTCAATATTGAACCTTTTCACAATATTCTAATTTTCTGAGATGCTGAATTTGGGGTTTTCATTAGTTGTCAGTTATAATCATCGACATTAAAAATAAATAAATATTTGAAATATATCAGTCTGTGTGTAACGAATGAATATATCCTGATGCATGCTCAATAATCAAGGTGTGAAAGAATATAATGTATAAATTTCACTTTTTTGAATGGAATTAATTAAATAAATAAATTTTTTATTCTAATTTTGTGACCAGCACCTGTATATTCTGAACGTGCTCTTAAATGTGTTGAAAATATTTTATTTTTGTCTGCAGCGCAACATGAAGAGAAACGGGAGTCGAAGCTGTGCAGCAAGAAAGACCAGATTTGGATCACGAGAGCGGGACTGGCTTATGGGGGACACCCAGCGGGGCTGTGTGTGCCTATATGGTGGGACTGTTGACCTTCAGCCATCTGCCTCAGGCACACAAACCTCTTCCACCCCTCAGACAGACCTGCAGCTGGTGCTCTGCTCCACCAAGACCACAGTGGAGGAGCTCTGCTCTCAGAGGCATGGGCAGGGACTCTACGTTCAGCTGCACGGGGACCTCATCAGGTGAATGTTCTGTGTCGTGTGTGAGCAGAGGACGAGGTTTATACGTTCTTCAAGGCTCAGCATTCGTCTGTCCTGCTGCTTTATCTGTCACAGTTTGAGGCTAACATCTTACGTTGAGACGTAGCATTTTGGTCAAACCTTGACAATAACATCATGTATAATCTCTGTTAAAATGTTAAATGACCAGGTGCCATGCTCAGTGTGTGTGTTATGAATGAGTCTCAGCTACTACCACCTCTAACTTTAGCTCCATACCTGTCAAACTGACTGAGGAGGTTTTGTTTTGGTTAATGTGTATTAGCGTGGTGAGCATCTTGAACTACTACCGTATTTTTCATCCTATAAGTTGCAGTTTTTCCCCTAATTTACATGTCCTGCAACTTATACTCCGAAGTTACACATTTATGGATTTTTCCCCAAATTTATAAACCAGTTTTTGGCTGAGATATGAGTTTTCATTCATTATGACTGAAAATATTGAACACTACCATTTTCAGCCGATAGAGGGCACTCGAGTACTGCGGCATGTCGTTGTGTCATGTAATAGTTAAAAGTGGCTATTAATGACACAATCAGCTTGCCATAGCCTGCCACCTTCGTCCAGCTCGCCTGGAACAACCGTCAAATCAGCTGCACCGCCCCGGCGAAATGCAGCTGATTTGACCATTGAAGTGCATTTATTAAGTCAAAGTTCAACTGAGACACACGTTTACTGTAATGTCGAGCAAACAAATAATTGTTTTAGGTGCTTATCTTGTTAAATTTCGAAGAAATGCACAGCGAGTCCTCCCGTGCACGCTCGTATTTCCACATATCGGCTTTTGAAATGCAGCTGGTTTGACCATCAAAATGCATTTATTAAGGAGAAAGTTCAACTGAGACACACCCTTTGCTATAATTTTGAGCAAACAAATAATTGTGTTTAAGTGTTAATCTTGTTAAATTCTTGTTAAAGTCCTCCCGTGCACGCTCCCGCAGCCGCCATTTGGCAGACTTTTTGGCACAACACCGACCCACATTTCCAGGTTGTCAGCGGTGACGCGTAATAGATGCGACTTATACGGCGAAGCGACATGTTTATGTTTTTTTCCACTTTATTAGACATATTTGGACTGATGCGACTTACAGGGTGGTGCAACGTGTACGACAGAAAATATGGTAATCAATCAGCTGTAGATGTTCATCATTTTCATGATTCTTGGTTCATGAGATGTTTTGCTGACAGTCCAACAAAACAAACTAGCTGCAACCAAATAGAACCATTTAAGCTACATCATTGACTTTGCACAGTCACTCAGGCATCCATCAGCTGCAGGCTTGCAGCAGCATCTTCAGTGGGTTTACTGTCAGCTGACAGCTTGAAGCTGAATGTGAAATCATGCATAGAAACTAAAATAAAATAAAAAAGCTGAGGCATAAAATGAGGCTTTGTATCTCAGTTGTGCAGCTACAGAGAGAGTGAAACTGAAGATTTGATGCAGCTGGTTAAGGCAACTGCAAAGACTCAGCAGGAAGCTGAGATCTTCCATTAGAGACACAGCTGCTACGAGAACAATGATGCATATTAACTCCGAACACGAGCAGCGCGGATGAGTTATAGTCTTAGGCATTTGCAGTTTTTGTTGTTTAAATAATTTGAAGCAAAACACCGCATTGATCGTCTCATACTCCCACCTCACGGGAGGTTCAGGCTCTGCCTTCAGCTCCACACGATGAGCACAGAATGAAACGGCAAATGACCTTTTGATTGTCTGGTTCACTGATCCGTGACCAGGAAGGAATCTGTTCAAAAGCCTGTGTGGAAATATAATAAAGAGGAAAACAAGAGTTCAGCTTCAGCTTAAACCTCAGAGACTTATTCTGTCGGAGAGCTCGAGACTGCGCAGTTCACTTCAAATAAAGAGGGCTGTTAAATATGTAAAATTAAATAAAAAATGTTTAGAACGTTCAAGTTGTGAGCAAAAGTACAAATAGGTTTATTGGTAAAAACTGAGACATTTGTGTAGATACGCAATAATTGTTTAATGATAAATAACTTCACAGCAACGATACATCGATTCAACAAGTCTGAATCCAACGGAGAGCAAAGAGTGGTCGTAATAAATACAAATCATATGGAAACCCCAGGTGGTTCAGTTTATTTGGGGGGGGGGGGGGGGGGGGGGGGATAACAGAAAATAATTGAGAAGCACTGTTCTACATGAACATTTCTTTTAAACAGATGTTTATCAGTGAGTGCAGCCAGGTGCATCTAAATTTAATATTAAAGTCTCCAAGTCATCCCTTTCTAAACTTTTATTTCATTTTATGTTAATGAAAAGATAAATCTTCCAAAAACTGAAAGCACTTACAATGAAGCCAAGGGTACATTTAAATGCATTAAAATAAATAAATAAATATGAGCATGGTCATTTTGAATACACAAGCTAGTAGTCCATGTTTGATTGCTTTGAAATTGGTTTCAGTCATACTTTTGTTTCTTGTAAGTTGTTTTTTTGGATCTCATTGTTCGTTGTGTCACGTAACTTTGAAAGGTGTTCATGCAATGTCATGAAGCCCGTAACAATAAAAACAAAATAAAATAGAAATCGTGAACTAATGAACGAAATCCACATAATATGTTTTTCATATTGTGTCACGGCGGCAGGAGGATTGAACCCAAGAATGCAGACCCGCGTGAGGAAAACTCAAAAGTAAAGTATTTTATTAAAAACACACAAAAGGCTCACGTGAGTAAAAGATCCACCTACAGGAGAACCACAAGGAGCACATGGGGGGTGTCATCTGACTGGCATGACCATGATTCACTGCTGAGTGACTGAACAGAGCAAAAATAAGCTGACGACAAGATGAGCAACAGGTGAGCAACAGGTGAGCAAAGGGGACGGTGCAGGTGTGAGTGGGCGTGGCAGCACCGAGGAGCAGGAGCTGAACTGAGGAAAAGTGCTGAGGGAGAGTGATTGACGGCTCAGAAGAACACGAGGAAACTGAAAAATGAAAACACTAGTAACATAAAAACACAGGATAACATCCATCCAACCATCCATCCATCCAACCATCCATCCATCCAACCATCCATCCATCCATCCATCCATCCATCCATCCATCCATCCTCTTTACCCACTTCTTCCTTTTTGGGTCACAGGGGTCACTTGTGCCCATATCCAGCAGTCACTGTGTGAGAGATGGGAAATACCCTGGACTGGTCTCCAGTCCACCACAGGGACTCCTGCACTGGTCTCCAGTCCATCACAGGGACACATAGAGAAAAACGAGACAATCATTCACTCTCTCTCTCACCTAGGGACAATTCAGAGTTACCAGTCAGCCTAACATGCATGTTTCTGGTCTGTGGGAGGAAACCGGAGTACCCGGAGAAAAGACACGCAGCGCGGAGAGAACATGCAAACTCCACCCAGAAAGATCCAGGGCCGGGATTTGAACTGGTGATCTTCTCGCTGAGGAGCAGCAGCTCTACCAGCTGAGCCACAGCGATGCCTAACACCAGAATCACTAAATATAAATAGATATGAAACACAAAATATTATAAACAGAACTATCCAAAACTCAGATCCTCTCATATCAATGGTTAACGTGCCCATAAATTTAAATTTGTCATTTAAATTTAAATTTGTGAACGGCTGCCGACTACCACGAGCTTTTGTTTTCCTGCAGAAGCCGCCAAAACCACTGAAAAAAAGGTCAACAGATGCGAAGACCATGGAAGAGCTGTTTAGGAGTGAGAAGTTCAACGAGTTCAACGTACGGGTGTATATTTAGGAACACATTAGTTGAGTAAAGTTTGCAGAAGAAAGTGTTTTGTTTACATGGAGTGTGTTGCATCTAAAAATTACATATTAGGACAATATGTCTGGAAATTTACTGGAGTAGACTCTTTCAGACTTCACCATTTCATATAGTTCATGATAACTTTTTAAATCTTTGATTTTATAGTCTGCAACGAGTGTGTCCATGACTAAACAAAGCTAAGCAGCAAATTAAGAAGCTTTGGAAGCGTTTAAAGAACACTGGCTTTATTTTGTTGGCATTTTTAACTGGACATGAATCTATCCATCGTTTATGTTCATTCATTCATTCATTCATTTGGAGCCGTGTGTCCTTCTCCTGTTCGCTTCCAACAAGGTGAGCGATTCTTTTCCCAGCATCAGGCTCTTCCTTAGGGATCCAGTACGTGCTTTCTCAGGACAGCTGGAACGTGTAATTTCTCCTGCATGTTCTGAAGTTTCCACCCGTCTTGTCGTTCTTTGGATACGTCCTAAACGAGCCTCGTGGTCATTTTGAATAGTTGCTCAGAAGAAGTTTGCAGCTTGACATCACATCCCTCTGAATCACGTCACCTTTTAGTGTAAACTCAGGTGATCCGAGTCAGCTTCAAGAACAGAAAAGCAGGGTTTTGAAGTTTGTGAGCTCACCACTGAAAAGAACTGTGCCAATATGAAGAACTGTCTGCCTGTGTAAACATCTGCATTTTATTTACGGGTCAGTAAAAACCTCTGTGGCTGTTGGAGGAATCAATGAGGCAGGTCTTTAAGTTCAGCAGTCAGACATCCTCTGACTCCCTGCTTAAAGCTTTAACGTTTAACGCCTACCGCTGTTGGGTATCAAACCAGATGAGTGGCCCTTCGAAGCGTACAGGCCGAGAAATAATGTGACTTTCACCTGAAGAGTTTGATCAAAGTTAAAGATTTTTATTTTGGCGACAATGTCAATTTTAAAATCAACTTGTCTGGTCACCACACTTATTAAGCATTTCAAGCACAAAAAAATCAATCTGTCTGACAAACATTTAATGTTTGTGTCCTATACAGAAGGGTCTTTATTATGTTTTTATCTGTTTTTTATTTTTAAACAAACAAAAATGACTTAGAGATGCTGCATCAGTGTAAATGTTAGATTTCCGCACTTTTTGTTTTTATTCATTCGCATTAGTTTAAAAGTTTTGCTTCAGGATCATGAGCATTTTTTTTACAGCTCTCTGGAAATATTTAAATTCATCTATTTATTATTCATGAATGGAGCATGATTAAATTTAACAATCAGGATCTCCTAACATTTTTTTACCAACCTGGTAGCCAGTGTTTCTAACTCACACACAAACATATTTGCTCTCCATGTCTTCGGTCCTGCAGGAGGCTGGACTCCTCTGAACGTCCTCTTCAGATGGTGTACGACTACCTGGCATCCATGGGTTATTCAGACCCGGTGCGAGTACAACATGAGGCTGCCAACTCAGACCTCAGCTGTTTGATCCGCTTCTACAGCGGTGAGTACTTCACTGTTCGCTTCTAGTCAAACCTTCTAAAACAATTTCACGTCTTCTGACGACGTTGTGCAGATTGTTGCTTTTGAAATTTTTGGTACACGTCCTTCTTTAAGCATGCAACTTATAAAACACACCCAGCCTGATAGGTGACCAACCATCAGTCATTCTGCGTTGCTGCTTGCTTCAGTGACTCGAGGACAGGAGTGACTAATAGCCCTGACTCCTTCTCATTAATGCAGCGCCAGAATGGATGTGAGCAGTGTTGCCAGATCTCACGATAGAAACAAGCAACCAGCTCTATGAAAACAAGCCCAACTGGCAACCCACCACATTGTGTAAAACAGAGGCCGTTTTTAAACAGTGTAAACATACATTTATAATGGCATTACACATAAACAACAGCAAAATTATGCTAAACACTTTGAATAACATACTTTTAAGCTCTGATTTAAAAAAAAAATATTTTTTTATGTAAAAAAATTGCAAAATATTTGCCCCCAAATATTATTTTTACTACATATTTTTAAAATGAAAAGATCCTGACATGTGCATGTGAGTGGAGCCCCCTATGGTCGGTCAGAGCATGAGTGTTTGTTTGGAACAGATCAACAAAGTTCATGCTCAATCATCCAGGTACCAAATCCAATAATTCTCAGTCAGGTCATCTGGATCGTGCAGTGACACGGCCTCTCGCCTCGCCAACTTGGGCGGGAGCGTTAAACAGGAAACGGGGGCGTGGAAGGGACAAACTACCTACTACCACTTGTCTCTTTCTTTATTGTGCGGAGCTGGGAGATAATCAACTACCGGTAGTTTCACTCGGAAAGAAAGTCAAGTCCAAATAAGCAACTTCACGTTCAAAAACAAGCCCCAAAAAACGCACCCCGCAACTCACAAAATTTGCAAGCGACTTTAGAAAAAACTAGCCCAAAGTCGCTTATAATAAGCAGACTTGGCAACACTGGATGTGACACTCTGATCACATCTTAGTGTAAAGGCTCCCACAAACTCGAGCGTACTTCGCTTCGCAGAGGTCTGGGCTTACCCGAATAGGAGTCAACACGGACTCGAAGCGAACGTCCGCAAGCCACGTCCATGCAAAGATCAATTTTTATGACCGTGTACGTGTACTTGGTGTCGCACAATAAACTGCCTGACGACAAACTGCCTGGTTTGGTTTAATTTCCTTTTCTTTTGTTTTTTTGCCAAGAGGCAAGCGATCTCTTCTTCCTCGTCCATTGACGCTATGACTGAAATTGTGAGAAATGAAGGAATTTGTCATGAGCGAATTAAAATCATGTCCAGCGTGGCTGCAGGAGGGTCTGGAGATTTCCCGGTTGGCTGGTCTGATGTGTGGACTGCAGGGCCAGCGCTCCCTGTTTTTGTTATTTTTTAGAACTTTTTATTAACAACATATAAACACAGAACACCGTTGCTGCTGGGCTGCCAGCTGCCTCTACCCAGGGCTGCTGGCAGCTCTCGTTTTTTTTTTTGCGACCTGTCAATCAATCCAGTATGCGTGTCAGCAAATGACCAGTCAGCAAACTCAATTTGTCCCGAAGGTAAACACCTCTTGCCTACAGAGCTGGGCCGTCAGGGTGTACGCTTGAGTATGAAGTCTCAACCGTCTGCGGACAGTGCGCTCAGTGTCCGCGTGGCTTACGGAGTACACATATTACACCAGAGTATGTGGGAACCTGGGACCCTGAGTACACAATCTCGTTCCACCACATGTACCACATGTGGTACGAATGACAAATAAAGAAACTGACTCTCTGAGTAATTCTGGTCGTGCTTATTGACCTTAAACCGATTTTATGTGGAACACAGCGCTCAAAAATCTGTCAAAATGAACTTATTTTGCTTAATGTGCCTTATAATCCGGTGCGCCTTATGGTCTGAAAAATACCGTACACCCAGGTGGGGCAGCTATGTGAGCACACGGGACGCTATTAGGGATTGGGTGTCTTGCTCAGAAACACCATGATGTGGGAATGGCTGGGAGTCGAACCCGACTTTCTGGTCCCAGGTCGGCTGCCTTACCCCTACCCCATCTCGGCCCCCTGTTAATATGTTAGTTTAATTTTTAACAGTTTTACAGTCATAAGTTAGCTTCTAATCTTTGTGTTTCAAAGTTCAGAGTATCGAGAACATCACCATTATCACAAACACAGTATACTGAATATTCAGTGTATTTATACACAGGAAGCTCATCTGACACGTGCGCTCACACTCACTCTTCTTCTATGGTGCTTGTATGAAATTTAAACAAAAATGCTTCTAAAACACCAACATTTTGAAGATGCTCCTTGTGAAAACAGAGACCTGGTGTCTGCTGGCCCGGTTTGTCAGCTCATGCAGCTTCAGCACAGACGACCCGGGCTGGCTGTTAGTTCTGGTGTTTGTCTGTCGCCACTGTCAGGGTCAAAGCAGAGGGACATACATCATCAGAAAGCACTGTGAAGTCATCAAATAAATTATTGATTTGAGTGCTGCTGATTTATTAAGAGAAGTTTACTCTAAACGAAGCCTGTTGATGTTTTAAGCGATGGAGATTTGGATGGTGAGCTAATGTCTGAAACTTTCTGCTGCAGCAGGTGATCAATGTGTCAGAATGATCAAGTCCTTGGGAACTGAAAATACGCTGCGCCTTCATTCTGAGTTCGTAAGAGAAGAAAGCTGTTTTTATAGTGACAAGAATCTGTGGAACAGTCCTAAACTGAAGGAAAAAATTATAATCTATTCAGAACTGAGCTCCCACAGAATTGCCCCGGGCAACGGAGCTCTGCAGAAAGCCGGCTCTCAGCGTTTCCTGCCAGAACCTCGTTCACTGTTTAGAGTTCTGTTTCTCTGAAGGATTTCCTTCACGTTTTAAACGTGGAGTCAGGTTTTTCATCCTAACTAATCAGGTCTCTCTTGTAAATGAGTCCTCGAGGCTCAATGGGATTTACCTGTCTAAATAAAGGTTGAATGAACGCAGAAGCCGTATTCTTTTGTGCTGAATGCCGTATTTGGTGGAACTAAAAAAAAAAAAAAAAATCACTTTTTTTTGTTCTTTTATTTTTAATAAAGGTAATAACAGACCACCAAGACGAGCCATCTGAGTGGTGGGTTGAATGTGAATTTGCTGGCAAAAAGAGCTTGTTGTTCTGAGTCAAATCAGTTTGTGTTTCCATCTCCACTGACCCCCCACCCCACCCCGCTGCATGCTAATGCAATCTGCGCAATCTTGAGTAAGACAAAATGGCTCTGGGGAACAAAGAGTATTGTATTCATCTGAGTGCTCTATAGTTGTCTTGAAGGAATGGATTATGTGAATAAAAACAGATTTCCAAAATAATAAACATAAACACCCATCCTGACAAAAATCAGGAGCTACGAACTACTTTACAGAAGAGAGGAAACCTGCCGTGATGATCATAAAATGCAAAGCATTCGTTATTCCATTTCAACATTTTTGCATTTATACAAACGTTTCCTTGAATATTTCAGTCCTGGGAAGTCTATAGAATAAGAATCAGAATAAGCTTTATTATTATTGCACCAAAGTACAGCGAGATTATATTCCTTACAGTCGTCCGAAAGATGGGCAGAGTGCACGTGGCTGCAGCTCCTACGAGCACAGCCCCTTATTCTTTAGATAGAAAAGGGGAAAGACCATGAGGGTAGGATAGTGGTATTACAAAAAATATCTCTTCACACCTTGTCAGGACACGATTTAAGACATCAAAAAAACTCTACCAGCAAGCACATTTCAGGTCCGAAGATTTATGGACTTCGTTGAGCCTCGCTACATCGTCCCCAGTCGGAGATATTTTTCCAACGTAACGTTACCTGAGTTACCTGCCGTCATTTCCGACGTCATTGAAAAGCTAATAGCCAATAGCACAACTTGTTGGGTGAGTTTTACCACAGACATTTGGACATCGTGTTAGCCCCGTTAGCGTGATTAGTCTTACGGCACAATGGATAGACAAAAACTTTTATCTTAAAAAGTCTGTCCTTCATGCACAGGAGTGCAGAGGATCCTATGCTGCAGCTATAGGAACCTGGAACAAACCTCCACAAGTGAGACAGCATCGCAGGTGACTAATGCTAATAAATAACATTACACACTTTTCATTTAATATAAGTTAAAGTGCTATGCATATCATATGGCTGTTACTGAATATAAGTCACCAGCTGTTACAGCTGTTGCACAGTTTTTGTAACAAATACGCCTAAATAAAAGGGCTATGTTCTGACAAAGGAACGTATATAAATATCGGTATCAGCATCGGTTATCAGCCAAATATGTTTTAACATATCGGAATATCGGATATCGGCCAAAAATCCAATATTGTGCGTCCCTACTTCTTAGTTTACACACATCCCCAGGAGAAATTTGATAAGTTGGCCTACTTCAAGGCCGAACGGGGAAGCCAGATTCAGATAAGCCACAGTTGTTTTTTGTGCAGGCAGACTGTTTTTTCTTGTCAGCCTTGAGTTCTGCTTGTTCTCTCGATGATCCAAAATGGCCAGATTTGTGGGTTTTCCACTGGTCCCTGCTTATTATCTTCCTCCAAGTTCAACCCCAACATGCTGTCGAGTTTTAGAAGCCAGAAGTGGCCTACGATTCTCATAAATCGCTTCCATCTTACGGTTGAGCTCGTAAATCAGCTGAGTCTGAGAGCTTGAAGCACAAACTAATCCTTCACATAAGGTCGGCAGCTTTGCCATGGCCGAAACTGCTGCCGCCGTCTTTCTTAATAGTCGATAACATAAGTATCCAATGGTGCCAAAAAGCAACCCTGCTATCATAAATCCAATGATCTTCGGCATCCTCCTGAGACTACACAGAAAGGCACACCATATCCATGACGTACCTTACCACGTGCGTCTCAGCAGGGCATGAGGGTTCTCCAGGACCCTGTCGCTTGGTTGAAAACATTTTATCCATTGCGTTGAAAGTCCAGCTGACCAGATCCATGACAGTAATTTACGATTCGGAAGATGTGTAA